AAAAAAATACTTTATTTAAATTTTCCTCTTGCCAACCCTTAGTGACCCTGTACATTCCAAAGGGGAGTGTGAACGAGACACGTGCATTTTTTCATTTAATTCCTATGGTAGATCACTGCTGTTGTTTCTCTTCTAAACGTTGCCAATTGGAGCTTAAGAGGTAAAGTGACAACAAATTGATGTCAGAATTTGAGCCCAGATATGTTTGAGACCAAAGCCTATACTGGCTTCAAATTTAAAAATTACAACATGACAGGATATGCATATAGTTTTTGGAGGAGTGAGAGGGTTTAATACTCAAAAGCTCATTCACACATTAATGTTTCATTTTCCATGTTTTTCCCTTAGAAGAACTTAGGAGATAATAGAAATGTAATGGGATAATAGAAATATCATTATCTTAGATAAAGTATATAACAGCTAAACCTTGTAGAATTTAGACAACTGAAAATATTATTGCATGGCTACTTAGTAATCATATCTGTTCTGTGTATCATATAATATAACATATAATAGAACATACCAAAATTGGGAGGAAAACTACCTTAAATTCAGAAGAAAATTAGGGAAGAGTTGTGATGAACTTGTGATAAATTTCAAGCCTAGAGAGTCCACTCTGGGAGATTCAGCATTTTGATTCTTACTCAGTAATTTCCAGAATGTAGATTATCTGCTCACCTGCCCTGGACAGAGCCTAAGCATTCCTTCCCCTCTCAGGGGAACACACCAGATTTCCACGAGCAGTTGGCTGCTATCTTGCTTTGTCTCTTCTCCTCTATCTGCCCAGATAGGCTGCCCCCACCACCCACTTGCAGTTTCGGGCTATAATGGAACATTGCAGTGATTCATCTTGACCTCAGGCTCTTCCCATAAGGCATACCTTACTATTTAGGATCCGGAAAACCCTCTGCTGCGGTGTCTGGTCAGCCTTGGGCCTCACAAGGATGTAAATGACTTTCAGGTCGGGGCTGGTGCGAAATAGCTTCTCCATCAGCACTTTGCCCATGAAGCCCGTGGCCCCAGTAATGAGAATGGACTTGCCACCATAGAAAGCTGCAATCGTGGACATGGTTCTTCCCTTTGTCCTTTAGAGCTCTGGACAGAGGTGCCTGAAAAGGGAGAGGAATAACAAAAGATTACATCTCAGAAGTTCTAAATGCTGTCATTTAAAATGTTTCTGGTGCTTCCAGGAGTTCTGAATGCAGAAAAAGGTCAGACAGAGGGATCACATCATGGTTTATTGATTTACGTATGGTTTTATGATTTATATGATTCATTTCAATCAATATTTATGAAGCTCACTCTACATGCCAGACATTATGCCAGGAACCGTGGGCAAGCAATGAGTAAGACACGGGTCCTGCTCTCAAAGAATTGCTTGTAGGCTAATGGAGGAGACAGACACATAAAGAGATTGTTAAATATAACACAGTGAGTGCTAAAACAAAGGGAGCACAGAGCAGGAGTGCAGAGCAGGATCTGGAAATTTCAGGCAGTCCCCTACTAGAGGTGACACCTGAGGTGAAACTTGAAGTCAGAGAAGGGCTGAGGGAAGGGTGTTCCAGTCCAAAGAAAGTGCATATTTCCATATGCTGGAAATAAAAGGAATTCCGTGTTACAAGGATGTAAACAGCAAGGCTAGGAATGGCCCCACAATCTGTGAAACAAAAGCTTAGAACAGCTATCAGATTTTTAAAAATTATGATGTATTTAGTATTTCAGTTGCAGTTTTATTTAGAGAAAATCCTGGAGCAAGTAACTTTTGGTTTCTCTTGAACAAACTGGCCCTGGCCTCCCCAGCCATGTCTAAATATGTTTTTCTATTCCTTGAGCTGAAAACAGGTCGAGTGCCATCCTTTCCTTCACATGCTGCTCGTAGGGTTGAAACATTGCAGAAGATAAAGGCAGAAGGTTGAATGAGGGAGGCCACGAATCATAGGCTTTGTTAAGTCCCAAAATAGCTCCGGTACCATCTAGCGCTCAGTTAGTCCATTCAAGGCCCTGTTTCCAGGAGCACAGGGAAAGAGTCAGCAAATCTGGGAGTGGGAAGCCAGATGCAAGACTCAGATGCTGTGACTGCAGACAAAAAGCACCACAGGCTGTAGAAACGCAACATGCAGTGTTTGTCTTTGAGCCCGGGCTGAAGACTGTTGACCTGAAGCAGCGGCAGAGCTTTGACGGAAACAGCGCTGGCCATGTGGGAGCCGACCTTCCTCTCTGTCAGTCTGTCCACCGACTTTGCCGACTGCAGCAGCGCCTCGGCTGTCTGCTTGGACGGGGTTTGGGTGGATCCTGCAGAACTCAACCCCAGGGACCGGCCCTGACATCAGGGCTTATAAAGAAGAAGAGAAAGACGAGTAAAAGAGTCAACACCCTGCCTCTTCACCTCCAGTCAAGATGACTCTGCCGGTAACTCCTTAAGGAACAATGACTTTTCATAGTCATAATTGATACATTTATAAATTATAGTCTTCATTTATACTTTGAGGATCTTGGGGCTATGTTCCTGGGCAGAACTCTTTCCCTTTGGAGGATTCATTCATTTATGAATTTACTCAACAAATAATTTTGGGCACCTGACATGCCAGACTCTATGCTAAGTTCTGAAGATAAACAGATGAATAAGGCAAAGAGATCCTTGCTGTCATTCAAGCAGAGGAGGCCAGGATACAAAGATAAGTAAATACATAGCAAGATAATTACAGACTTACAAATGTAAATAAAACAGGGATCAATGGCAGAAATCACACCCAATCATCAATGCTAATCACTTTAGGAAATCTGGATTTCAAATCCCATCAGCTATATTCATTGAGTTACTATTGAAACTCTTTTTATTGAGGGTTAATTCGAGAAATATTATTATTATTATTTTTTGAGGAAGATTAGCCCTGAGCTAACATCTGTTGCCAATGCTCCACTTTTTTGCTGAGACAGATTGGCCGTGGGCTAACATACGTGCCCATCTTCCTCTACTTTATATGAGATGCCCCCACAGCATGGCTTGATGAGCAGTGCATAGGTCTGTCCCAGGATCCGAACCTACCAGCCCCGGGCCACCGAAGCGGAGTGTGTGAACTTAACCGCTATGTCCCTTGATATTTATTTTAAATGTCTGTCTTATGCATTTTATGTGCTCTCTTTTGGAAAAAGGAGACAATTTATAACTCAATCATCAAGCCAAGTGTTTTCACCAAATGTAACTCTACTTGATGAGAAACCTTGTCCACTCCTTTATATATAAAAATGTTTAGGCACCATACTTCTTTAAGATAATATTGGCATAAACAAACATAGTTTTTGTTAAGAAAATACAGAAGGAAAACTGAGTTTGGATAGGGTAACTTCCCAACCTCGTTCTGAAGATGTCAGATGCTTGTTTTGTACTATCATATGCTTTAGTGGAGTCATATTTTCTAGAAATGCAAACACACTGTTAAGATATTTTGGGCCCAGACACAGTTTTGCAACTTGTGATGAAACATTTTAGAGAGCAGGTAACATATCTCTAATGAGCCTGTTGCTTGTGGGACAAAGGAAGGCTTGATGTGTCCCCAAAGAATGGAATTTGCCTGCTCTGTCCTGAGTCCAAATACTTCTCAAACACAACAAAAACCACGGCAGGGGACATTGAGTGCTCTGGCAGGAAAACCAAACATAACCCAGTATGTCCTGGCACTCCATCACCCGATTGTCGAAAGCAGGTGGCAGAGACCTGTGGCCACGTTCTAACCGAGGCAAGCGATTCTGCAAAATGTCAGAGAGAATCCCTCCTCCTCAGATCAGAGCTGCGTCACAGGTGTTTCTTCTACCTCTTGCTTCCACTCTCAGCATGTGGCTCGGTTCCTGGCCCCAGAAACTCCTATACAAAATTTGGCTCCCCAACACCCAGTTTCCTATGTTATAGCTTTGTGAGGTTCAGGAATTGTTAACCCTTACTGTAACTCATTAAAATAATGAAGTTAATTATTTTAAAAATGAAAAGAATTTTACACTCAGGAATGGCGGATATGCAACGCTAGATGAGGAATATGTTTAGAGTAGCTAACCAGGTCATGGCTTGTCTTTCATATCTTCTCAGATGACTAATGCAGACAGCACAGGACAATTTCCTATCCCTCATGCTCATGATATGGTTTGTGAGAAGCCCAAGTCACTTTGACCATCTGTGAATCATCCTGTATCATGCAGGATATCTGATGCTTGAATGAAACACAGAATGGAGCTATGAGAATCAGCCAATGTATGTTGATTGAATGTCTGCTATGTGCCAGGCACTGTCTAGGCACTGGGGGTAGTGAACAGGCCTTATGCAGCTGAGATGCTTCCATTCCATTCTGGAGCACTTTTTCTCCTTAAGATCACCCGTTTTCCACGGTCATGAGTGGAAATAGATAGTCTTGACTCTTTTTCTGGTAGTAAATGAAGCTGTTCTCATTTCTAGAGAATAGGTGTTAAAAGACTGAAGCATAATAGTTGCGCCAAGTTATACATTTTTTGCAGTTTCTAGCATATGGGAACTTTAATTATTCTTTGGGAATTTTATTCTTAATAAAAAATTAAGATTCAAACATTTAAGGGAGTTTATCCAAATTTCTTGGTAGCCCTTTAGAGAAAGACATTTTTAAAAAAGAAACACGGGGCTTTGCCTCTAAGAAATCTTACTCTTAACCAGGGGTTCTTGGTCTTGCATTATTAACATTTCGGGACGGATAAATCTCTGTCGTGCGGGCTGTCCAGGGCAATGTGGGGTGTTTAGCAGCATCCCTGGCCTCTTCTCACTAGATGGTAATAACATCCCTCTTTACCCTGGCCAGCTGTGGAAACCCAAAATGTCTCTAGACTTTCCTAAATGGGCTCTGGGGGAAAAACTGCCCCCCTTTCTGGGAACCATTGTGCTAGGACCTTCTTAAATTTTCATTTTATAATATTCAGTACATGCTACTAAAAATTCAAGCCTTAAATTTCTGCTTGTGAAGCTAAATACAAAAATGATCCACTGCCATGCCCTACTTTACCGATATCAAATCGCTCATAACTAATTACACTTACCCAAGCAAATTACATGTGTGGCAAATCTTGACAGTGTTCAAAGTGGAAATAAAGGCAGATTTCTCCAGAGAAAGATTTCCCACATTTAGCCACAGTTTTTTTCAGTCTCTGTGCTTTAAATTAGACTGTGAACCCCACCTTTCATATAGATTGAATCTCTCAATTTTATCCATCTAAACCTCTCCTGGGCAAACTTCATAAAGAATGGCAATTGGACCAGCATACGATCAGCTGAGAAAAAAAACATTTGGTATGGGTTGCTGAATATTAAATTCTATGGATAGTCAAGTCAATCTTACCTCTAGGTAATTCTGTTGCCTTTTTTTACGATTCACAGTATGCTGTGTGTTAAGGGATACCTCGTGGGGACAAATGGAGTTTTGGTTGGCAATGGGCACAGTCATATGGGCTGGTTTATTGAAAAAAATCAATGCTATTTTGTAAAATTCAGTAAATGAAAGTCTGTTCTGCTTCATGAAAATTAAACACTGAAATTCTTTCAATAGGTATGTTGAATTAAGGAAATGCATTTACAAAATAATATTCAATGCTGACAAGGAGAACATAAACTTGTGAAAACATCATAATGTCCATTGCATAACACTGTGGAAAAGATTGGAGGGGAATGACATAAATGAGAGCAGTTGTATAATAGTGTGAAGGGATTAAAGGTAAAGAGTTTTGTTTTGTGTCTGTAATTTCCATGATTTTAAAAGGTAATTTAATAATAAATACTCAACAACAGAAGTTCTTAGAAAGTAATGGCAGCCAGTATTTTTATAGTCTCTTCTTTTGCTGTGGTCACTAGAAGTATAAAGAAATTTGCAAAACAAACTTCCTTAGTTTAAGATGTATTTAGATTATTTAAAAAAGTGTAGCTCAATTGACATTATACACTACTATGGACTGAACTGTGTCCCCTCCAATTTCATATGTTGAAGCCCCCAACCCCTAATGTGATGATATTTGGAGACAAGGCCTTTGAAAGGTATTTCAGGTCAAATAAAGTCATAAAGATGAGGTCCTAATCTGATAGGACTGGTATCCTAACAAGAAG